GGAGTGGCTCAATCGGTATAGGTGCTTGGAGTGACTCGATCGGTAAGAACTTGGAGTGGTTCGCTGGGGAGGTGCTTGGAGTGGCTCGGTCGGTAGGTGCTTGGAGTGGCTCGGTCAGTAGGTGCTTGGAATGGCTCGGTCGGTACATGTGCTTGGAGTAGCTCGGTCGGTAGGTGCTGAACTGATCAAACGGTCAAAAGGGAAAATAGTAGCGCGACGAAACTGGGAGCGTGACGAAAAAGAAAAGAAAGCAGGGAATTCAAAGCAAAAAAAAAAAAAAAAGCAAGCAGCGGGAACGCGACAGGCTGCCTGCACCGGAACTTATGGAACGAAAAAAAGGGACACGAAGCATGAACGACGCCCGCTGTAGCGGCCAAAAAGTGGAAAACAGCGTCAAAAGCGAGGGAACGAAAAAAAAAAAAAAGGGAAATAAGGGGGAAATGTGGGCGTGGGCGTGGGTGTGTGGGTCTGGATGGTTGCTGCTGCGGCGGGGGACGGCGGGCGAAAAAGGGAAAGCGACACGGAAAGCGACGGAACGAAAAAAAAAAAGAAGGAAATGTGGGCGTGGGCGTGGGTGTGTGGGTCTGGATGGTTGATGTTGCGGCGGGCGACGACGGCCGTTGCAGCGACCGAAAAGGGGAAAAGGGCGGCGAAAGCGACGAAATAAAAAAAAAAGGGAAAATGTGACGGTGGGCGTGAGCGTCGGCATGGGCGTGGGTGCATGGGTGCGTGGGTGTGGATGGTTGTTGTAGCGGCTGCCTGCGCTGCCCTGATGCCTTTTGCCGCTAACACGAGTAGGAAAAGTGGGATCGAGACAAAAACAAAAAAAGTTGCCGGTGACGTGAGCAGGAAAAAGTGGGAGCGCGAAAAAAACGAAAAAAAGAAAAGAAAGCGGGAAAACAAAAAAAGAAAAGAAGCGAGCAGGAAAGCGGAAAAAAAAAAAAAAGCGAGCAGCGAGAACGTGACAGACTGCCTGCACCGGAACTGACCCAACGAAAAAGAAAAGGGACGCGACGGATTGCCTTCATCGGAACTGACCAAACGGAAAAAAAAGGGGGACAACGACCGTTGTAGCGGCCAAAAAGGGAAAAACGGCGCCGAAAGCGCCGGAACGAAAAAAAAAAAGGGAAAGATGGTCGCTGCAGTGACCAAAAAGAAAAGAAAAATCCAGCGGCCTAACCCAGTTGGTAAGGCACACAAGTGGCATTCAGGAGGTCTTGGGTTCAATCCCCATTGGCCTCATGTACCTTCCTGGGCAAGCTTGGCGCCCGCCACCTAGAGATATGTCGTTGGTCCCCCCGAGTGGCATTGAGCAGAGATTGCTGATGTTCATAGGGGGAGGGGACCTGATGGGAGGAACAGGGATTGGTCATGTTGGCATGGTCCCTGATGCTACCGGCTGCCCCAAGCCGGTATCGCCCACCTGCAGGTC